TAAGTCCCTTTCCCCTTATGTTATATTCTTAGCTTGGAGTGGATTTCTTCAATAGCTCTTCACTCAAGCACTTGCAAATCCGTTGCTGATCTTAAATCATATACATACTCCAGAAAAATCTTCATCGTCTTCATGCCATTAAATGGTAGTGTAATCAATTTCTTGTTGACTCAAACAACTGATAACATGAGTTCTGTTATTTATGCATACGGATCAGGTGTTTCCTCCTCCCCTGGTCCCACCAGGATAAGTTTCTTATTTAGGGTATCAGTTAATAAGTAAGTAAGTACTGAGGGAGCGCTGGGAGTTTGGGGGCGGGCAGGAAGTTGCGCTGCCAGACCCAAGGCTCATGGTTCAAACCCACCAGCTGCTCCGTGGGAGAAGATGGACACTCTCCTCCCATGTGATTTACAGCCTCTGAAAACCCGCTGGAGGTTCGACTGTGAGCCTGTTCTAACTGGATGGCAGTGAGTTGGTGTCTGGTTTTTTGGTGTGTGGTGTTTTTTTTTTGTTGTTTTTTTTTTTAATTAAGTAGTAAATGCATCTAATGCTAGGGTGTAGGACACACGAGCACAATGGCTTGAATATAGCCCACGGACGTGTAATCCCAAAAGTGCGCTTACATTCTGAAAACTTAAAATTTGTAATCCCAAAAGTGCGCTTACATTCTGAAAACTTAAAACTTGTAATCCCAAAAGTGCGCTTACATTCTGAAAACTTAAAACTTGTAATCCCAAAAGTGCGCTTACATTCTGAAAACTTAAAACTTGTAATCCCAAAAGTGTGCTTACATTCTGAAAACTTAAAACTTGTAATCCCAAAAGTGCGCTTACATTCTGAAAACTTAAAACTTGTAATCCCAAAAGTGCGCTTACATTCTGAAAACGTAAAACTTCTAGTAACTAATCTTCTGTTTGTCCCAACCTTGGAACAGGGTTGGGTACAAAACAGTGGTACAGCAAATACTTGTCCAGTGAATGCATTACTGATTAAAAAAAAAAATCCAAACAGTTTTCCTTTGCTCTGCCTTCATTCTAAAGCAATTAAAAAAAAATTAATGTCACTGCTTACACATATTCCCCTTCTCTAACCCTCTGAGGTGAGAGGCTCGTGTGTGGCTCTGGTGTTGATCCGGGCTCAGTGAAGCTTCTAGAATAAGGTGATGTAGGAGGAAAGATGGGAGACTCTCCCGTGAGCTAACGCACCCGTGGATCCCAGTGGTCCAGTCAGAAAGCACAAATGAGGATGGCACAGAGCTGGGAAGTGTTTTGTCCTCTTGAGTGTACGCTCACCCTGAACCCTGAGTCCACAGCAACTGGCAGTAGATACACCCCGATCCCTATTGTTGCAGTGAATGTTTTGAAATGGCCATTTGAACTTGCCCTGTTGCCACTGATCCTAGGTGGAGATTGGTTTTTCCACTGTAGCAATTTGTCCTCTCTTCCCCTGAACTGATAAGGCTTTTGGAATTTAAGTAGAAACTTAGCAAACACATCTAATATAATCAGCCACTGGTATTTTATTTTAAAGAGTGAAGTAACTGAAGGCAGTCACCAAATCTTAAACGATATCTATTCAATTTTGCCAACACCATTTGTTAAAAAGGCTGTCATTTCCTCACTTAACAGATTTCATCTCCTTGTCAAAAATTACTTGACCATAGATAGATGGGCTGATTTCTGGGTTCTCAGTGCCCATCAACAAACGAACGGAGAGAGAAGCTCTGGTATATTCACACAATGGAATACTACGCAGCATTGAAAAACAAGGAACTCATGAAATATTATTCAGAATGGGTGACCCTGGAGGACATTATGCTGAGTGAAATATCTCAGTCACAAAAGGACAAATACTGCATAATGCCAC